GCCATTGAATTCCCGGTAAACGTGACCAGCTATAAAAATCTTCAGTTTTGGGATGTAAAAGACCCGAAGGCTCCATTTGTACTTAAGGTACTCGTCTACGTCGATTGCAATAAGGGGAAGTTGGGGAAATGCACGTGCCAAAGCGTTCACATACGGCGCCGCAGCAACAGAAAAGGGACACCAGGATGCGTAGATAAAGACTAGGACACAGTGACTCTGGATAATGTGGGGCACAGCGCTTTTCGACGTGGGATATCGTCGTTGCAGAAGGAAGGGACTAAATAGAGAAGATATCCTAACGTGGCGGTGGAGATTGACACCGAAAATGTCGCTACTACCGACGCCTAAGGCGGTACCCAGGGCAGACTCCAGCTCATTTCCCAGGACAAGCTTTGGACTGGCCAGTGTGTAGTTCCACCAGTTAATAGGTCTCAGGCGGCATCTGGTCGTGACTTTACCATCAAACAGGTCATTTGGATCGACGCTTTCCCCCTGAGAAGGCCAGGAGTAATTTCTAGAGTCCGGGTCGGCAGAGGAATTGGGAGCTAAAAGAACAGTACACAAGAGTGTAAGGTCACCAGGGTGACACAACCAAAAACAAAATATACAAGTGAGACGTTCAGATTTAACAGCAGTCTCACGCGTTTTGTCGATACAAGAGTTCTGATTGCCTGCTGAAAACATACCGTTTCGAGTATGGGCTTTTAGCAGCCAAATCTGGGAACCCTAACGAAGCTACCTTGGAATTCGCGAATTTCCTGATGAAACTTGGGGTGTACATTGCCAAGGTAGATATTTCTGGACCCCTTGTTATACTACAGTATATCAGAGTGCCCTCCTGAAGATGAAATTGTCAACATCACGAGGAATGTCACCAGCAACAGCTTGCATTGCTAAAAAACTCCAGTTACTTGATAGCATAACTCCTTTAAGTAACGATCACTTTCCTTGAATATCCTTAATACAATAACTTCTGAACAGGAAGGTGACAGGATGGTGTAGCTCTTTTCTCTAGACCTCAGGGACGTTAAGCCACTTATTGAGGATCCCAGGTGGGGGGGAGGGAGGGGCGAAGCGCATGCGTTCAATAAGCTACGTTGCTCGAGTTGCCTCTGCATAACTGTGTCCCGGGGGTTTGCGGTTGGGGACGTTGCCCTTTTCCATCTGGAAGAGTTTTCCACAGCTCACTAATGATTGCAGATGGCAGTAAAATCTCACGTCAGACACCAGACCATGACTTTAACCGGAAATATCTCCATTGGGAGTTCAAATTTACCAACCGATGGGATTTCGCAGAGAATGTGGGAGGACGCAAATTTCTCGCAAGCACTCTGGGTTGAACTTGGAAATGCGTTCATGCGTAGGGACAAATGACGAGGTTATTCTAAGAAATGAAGCTTCAGCCGACTTAGCACGGTTTCACTTAAAAATGACAATAAACTGCTGCGAAGATCCAAGTTAATAGGCGCTATCAACATTGCACTGAATCAAGCCTGTGTATACCATAAACAATATACCGCATATATTTTGCTCCATTCGGAATACTGCGCATCCGCGTGGTGTGGACACCTCATACGAGGCATGGGGGATTGAAAAAGAGTTAACTATCAGGCAACTAAGCTCACTCAATCCACTTGTAATCCATGCCAAGAGGAAAAACTGGATACGTTCAAACACTGAAAGGCGCCCCACTTGTAGGCGTATAAGAAAGTCAGTATGGCGAATAGTGTGGAACACAATCTATGTTGTTAACGCAGACAAACGTTGAATCTTAGGAGATGCCTACAAAAGAAACTTGAGCAACGACCCCGATAAAACTGCGCTAGCCGGACAATGCTAATGCACTAGCGACTCCGGTCTGGGTTGTAAAACTATTGCTACTTATCTAATTGACTGAGGAAGCATTATCTAGGCAAGTAAGTCGTGTTGATTCATGCGTTGCCTGAGTCAACGCACTCAAAACGGCTTGAGCGACGAACGTCTATTAGGAGTATTCTTGGGGTTGGTGGTCATAGGCACTCCACGGTCTGCTCCACTCGTTGTCGGACGGTGGAACGCCCACGCACTTTGCGAAAAAAATCAATCCAGCCCGATACACGGCGCAACATTGGCGCAGCAAGCGTGCGCCATTGAGCGTCTTGGTCCTAATAAGGTGGCTTATGAGTAGTAGCAACAGGTCCATAAAAGAACGCCAGAACTACGTAGTAACGAGTTCATTCAATGTTATTGGGGATGTCAGCACACGTGATCGCAGAGTGTTATAATACTCTATATATAGAGACGACCCGCTTGTATGTCATAAATCCATGAAGTATTTTATTCAAAGAACTACTTTAAGTCGTTAGATTTCTACTAATAACAAAGTATTTTGATCACTTGTTGAACTCGATGGCCCCGATCGTGTTTGTGGCCCGCGGGTCACAATCACAATTAGAGAAAGGAACCATGCCCCAAAAGTTTTTGGGCTTTAGAGAGCATTTTCCAACCATATTTTAGACATGTGGTGGTCACATAACATCGCAGATTTCTTGTTAGAGACAGAATTCGCGAAATATGAGAAACGGAAAAGAAAATGTGGATTTCACTCACAATTTAGTATGTCATTCGAAGGCATCCGCGCAGCATTTCGCCGAATTTTTGAGGCATTCAGCACATTTTCAGGTTTAGTTTGTGTGCTTGACTCACAGTGAGCATACAGAGGAAAGTATCCAAAGAAAGTTAGGCTGACAACGAGAACACGCAGAAACATCCGAGGGGGAATTGTCTTTGCCGCCATTGCTTTAGCTTCGTAAAAACATGCGGTAAGTTTGGGCTCAATTTTGTTATTCACCCTCTGATTTTTTAAATTGTATTACGCATCCGTCTGGCTTAATTATTCAGAGTCAACGTGATTTTTCGAGAATTCTTTCGGCCGATTTAAACGATTAATTGCTTTTATCTGTAGAACCAATAGCAGGTGTCGGTTCAATGCCGCATGGCCTTACAATATTCTCCGTGGGTTTAGTACTTTTAATGATCTAATAGCTCACCCTCCGAGCTCTGCCCTTTATGACCATCTTTTTGCCTCTTCCATTGATATAGCAAGTAGAAATAACAATAGTAACTCCCCGGTAATTAGCTTCTACTGCACCCAACATCACACACTTTAGTGTCATTATCAGGGTTATTGCGCATGTGAACCTATTGCACTTAATTTTGTTGCCTGGGATAGCTTACAAGGTACATTGGCCACGCCCTGTCTTGCCAACAGCACACGCATAATCTGTTACCAGTTTCTTAACACCTTTATACACTACTCCAGAACTTACGTTTGGCATGATCTTATTACTGTAGTTATTAGGCTCAATAATTCACACAATTCCAAAAGAACGTCAACATAAGTTACTTTTTTGTCCTTTTTATGTTATGGAGCTAAAGCTCTATCCCTTGGACTTCGGAACACCGTGGATGATTTTTGCATATGGCAACGAAAGAAGCACATTGTGGCATGTAATGAGGCTCTCTGAAGAAAACGTAAAGTGGAATAGATAAAAGACAAGAAAAAACATAGACCACTGCGTCTTCCAAGCTTTAGACATCGTCCAAGCTGCCAGTGTGTAACTGTCAAGCATAAGGTAGAAGATTGCGAGGGACTATATGTTACTGTCCGTAGGCTATTTGCTAAGGGCAGAATGACAGTTCGAATTATTTCTTCCATTTTTCCTCACGTATATGTACCTGCACACGGATATATGTGTTTCCTAGGTAGTATTCAGGTGTTTGTAATAACTGCGTCATTGCCGACTCATTTACACATGCCAACGACCTGTAGACTTAAAGTTACTACCACTCGCGGCTCCAACATCAGCTGTTACTCGATTTTTGCATTCAGAAAAGCTTCCACAACTTTTGGGTGCTGAATCCACTGATCGACTCTACCGTAGCAATGGCGTTTGTGGTCTCTGAACACTATGCCCGGTCTCACCAGCTGTTCCACAACGCCTCTACTTTGACTATCCCCAA